ATAATGTGTTGATTGTCATCCACAATATATATTAAATTGGTTAAAATTTTCACGTTTTTTATTTGAACCAGTGTTAGATAATTTTTTTTGTGACAAAAAAATATTTAGGGGTAATAGATACTCAAAATTTTGAAGGACGGACTTATTTTTAAGATATATACATGATAATAATGAATTATGTGCTTATAAATAATAAATAAGTAGTTGATGGTTTATTGTATGTAAAAAATATTAATTACTTTATAGATATCAAATTTGTTATATGTTACATCTTAGGAACTTATATGTCACTTTAAAGTGTTTTCATGAAAATGTTGAAAATTAACAAAAATTGTTTAACTATATGTTGTTATTGTTCTTCGAATGATAAATTTTAGAGTGATTATCAAATTGATTATCATATTAAAAATTAGGTCTAATTATTAATTTAATTCTTATATTTAGTTATACAATTTACTTTAGTTTTTATAAACTTTTTATTTAACTGAATCTTATATATTTTAAATATAGTTAATTTGATCGTTAAACTAATATTAATATTGTTTGAAAAATATTACGTATTAAAATTTAGATCATTTTTTATTTTGAGACTATCTGGTTTGACACATGACACTTTTTAGATTTTGACACGTGACACATTTCTATATCTTTTACAATGTATTGTTCTCCGGTCTCAAATCTTACTTTATAAATATATGATTTGTTGAGCTCTTTGAAAAATTATCCATTATGAATGATGTGATTTGTAACCATTATCTATAATTCAAGTTTTTGTAATTTTATTAGTTGTAACACATGATGTTGCAAGAAGTAGTTCATTTTCCATTTTGTTTTCTACAATCTTAACATTTTCGTGGGGATGTTGGTGATTATTTTTTTCTTGCAAAAGGGACAAGATGGAAAAACTTGTATGTTTTTGTTTTGATTGTATTTGATCCTTTTATAGTTCTTTACTTTGAAAGAACTTTTCTTAGTATGAAGTAAAACAAATTCAACTTGATGATCTTCTCTTGTTAGTCTTTGTTTCTCTTATCCAATAATTTTATTTTGTTAGTAGTAGCCAAAAATGTGTTTGAGTACTTTTTTAACTGTTGAATATAGTGAAAAATTATATATGAGATTAATCTCCCTTTGTGGTCCTCTATTTATAATAGAAGAAATATGAGCTGAGCTCAAAATACAAATAAGAAAGAATAACAAACTAATTAAAGATAAAAGATAAATATAAAATAAAGATAATATATCTAACAAACTATCTCATGTTCGTTTATCCTAATAGCTCAAATATTCTTATCGAAATTAACACTTTCGTGTCTTAAATATTTATTTGAACGTGTTTGAGTATTTTTAAGGTTTAATCCTTTTCGACATCCCTATTTATGTACGAATGTCTCAATTGGGTCCTCGTTTTTTAAAGTGTATCAAAATGGTCCTTAATTTTGAAAATTCATATCAATTGAGTCCTTCCCGTTAAGTTGGCTGGACGGCGTTAAAAAAATTGATGAGTGGGATGCTGAGATCAGGAAATGTTACTGACGTGGCATTGACCTGGCTTTATGGTGAGTTTTTTACACAATCAGCGAGTGCTTTATGGTAAATCAAAACGCAACGTTTTGATTTTGAACACAATCAGTGAGTGTTTTATGAGAAGGAGAAATCCCTAAATTGCAGAGGGTTTTGTCGAGGGTTTTCGGTTGTCTTTTGTGGTTCCAATTTGGCGGACAATAGGTAACGTTTCTAGATTTGCGAGTGATCTATTGGTGGTATTTCGGTAGAATCAGGAAGGTGTTGGCGGTGAAGCACGTGGAAAGCAGTGGCGAAAGTGTTCGAAGTGAACCATAAAGAGAAGGAGAAATCCCTAAATTGCAGAAATCCCCAAATCGGTTGACGCAGGTGGGTGGGTTTAAGAACGCAGTTGTTCGACGCAGGTGGGTGGGTTTAAGAACGTAGTTGTTCGTCGCAGGTGGGTGGGTTTAAGAACGTAGTTGTTCGTCGCAGGTGGGTGGGTTTAAGAACGTAGTTGTTCGTCGCAGGTGGGTGGGTTTAAGAACGTAGTTGTTCGAAGACGATGTCGAAGGAGCATTCTTGTTGTTCGTCGACATGCAGTGTGTGGCGGAAGGAAAACCGTAATTTGTGTTCACCGATTTGCCACTGTGGACTGAGATGCGCGCTGAGAACTGCTAAAACTTTGAAGAATCGTGGCAAGCAATTTTGGGGATGCTCGAAGTATAAGGTATGATTTATTTGACGTTTGTATTATGTGGAAGTGTTTTTGAGAATCAATTGTTGTTTATACAGAATGGTGCTGAAGAGGGTGGTTGCAACTACTTCAAATGGTTCAATGATGTTGTGGAAGAGGAAAGGGGCAAATGCTTAAAGTGTGAAGGAAACAAAGAAAGTTCGGTGCACAGTGAAGAAATGGATAGTAATAGGAAAATTTTAGTTAAGTTTGAGAAATCTTTGTTGGTTGTTCAAAACTGGATGAAGGTGTTGATATTTTTGGTTTTTCTTTTATGTGTAATAAATACAATTTGCGTATCAATGTTGATGAGAATGGGCTGATGGGTTGTAACCGTGTTGTACTTTTCTTCCATTTCAATGAAAGTCAGACTTCTTACTAGTGAAAACTTTATTTTTGTTATGAAATGTGATGAGTAAAAATAATGTTATTATGTTGAAGTTGTAATGTTTTTATGAGTCTAAAAAATTCTGCATATTTGAGGTGTTTTTATGAGTCTAAAAAAATCTGCATTGCTCAGGGTCACTGTTTTATGAGTGTATATATTGCTATCATACACCTCCTTTGTGGACGAGCGTCCTATTCTCGCTGGCCGACCGTGCACCGAACGTCGTCTGTGGACGAGCGTCTTATTTCTCGCTGAGGGAGCGTTCTCTAATGCGTCCATAGTGGACGAGCGTCCACAGTGGACGAGCATGCTCTTATCGCTTGGCCAGCTTCCTCTCGAGCGTCAACAGTGGACGAGCGTGCTCTTATCGCTTGGCCAGCGTCCTCTCGAGCGTCAACAGTGGACGAGCGTGCTCTTATCGCTTGGCCAGCGTCCTCTCGAGCGTCAACAGTGGACGAGCGTGCTCTTATCGCTTGGCCAGCGTCCTCTCGAGCGTCAACAGTGGACGAGCGTGCTCTTATCGCTTGGGCAGCGTCCTCTCGAGCATCCAGAGTGGACGAGCGTCCTCTTATCGGTGGGCGACGAGTTATTTACAAAAGAAGACATCATAATTATTTACAAAAGAAGACAAAAAAGAGGATTTAACATCAAAATTAGCATTATCAGCTGTGTAATAGAAAAAGGTAACCAAAGTACTGTCTAATACAAAAAGAGCACCAAGTTGCTGTGTAATACAAAAAGAGCACCAAAGTACTGTCTAATACAAAGAGACATTAAAAAATACATTAAAGTTGTTCATTTATCCCCTTAAACTGCAGCTTCTTCTTCATTTGATGATGGGATGTTTGGTTGAGTTGATGGGTTACTTTGTTGTGTTTGTTGTGCTTTGGTGCAAGAAGTCCTGTTGTGGCCGAGTTCCTTACAAATGCCACATCTTTTCTTGAAACCACCCTTCCTCATTCTTTTGTCATCCTTCACCAACTCCCATTGCTCCAACCTTCGCTTCTTCTTTGGTCTTCCAGGCAAAGTTCTTTTTGGTGGAGGGAGAACATCTTCATATGTGGTAATCTCCCACATATTGTTACCATTTATTGGATAGATAATTGAAGAGTATGTTTCTTCATATGTTGACTTCCTAAAACAACATGGAATGAATTCCTCTGCATCAAGATTTAGGAATTTCATAGCAGCTAACGAGTGGCAACATGGTATGGCAGTGATTTCCCACTTCCTGCATGTACACAAATTTTCATCTAAATTGACTACAAATTTGTCACCGGCTTGGGACACATGTCGAACTTCAAAAATCTTGTTTCCTGACCAGCTGTAAAATCCAAACAAGAAACACATTATAATCATAAACCACTAACACATTTAAAAAGAAATCATAAGTCAACAAACCTCATTCTTACCACGGTATCCAATATTTAGTTAACTGAGACTCCTTCTTTAGTCTAGTCTTTATTTTTGGACAAATGTTCCCAGAAAGTGATTGACTTTTTGTCCTGTTAGTTGCCCATCTCTTCATCAAGTAAAGCCGGATTTCCTCCATCATGGTTACGATTGGCTTAGACCTTGTATGCAGCATTACACTATTGAAAGCCTCCGACAAGTTGTTAACCAAAGTATCACACTGAGCCTTGCTGCTGAATCTTGATCTTGACCAGTACCTACAACATATATATGTTCATCAATGTTACTGTGAATATTTGGCAGATTTTTAAGAATAGAAATTTAAATACAAACCTGGGAGGGATTTTTAACAAGTATTTGAAAGCCTCATCGTTAAGCTGTTTAATATTTCTCATTTCTGCTTCCCATGCTTGTGGATGGGTTGCTGTAGCTGCCTTCCACATCAAACGCTTGAGTTGTTTTCCAGGGAATTTCTTCCTAAAATTAGCGTATAAGTGCCTAACACAGAAACGTTGATCAACTCCAGGCACGACTTCTTGTACAGCTTGTAGTTGTCCCTGTTGAATCAAATTATGACAGTGTTGTTAGAGATATGATTTCAACCTCAAAGATAATTAACATAATCGGGGAATAGGTCATGTGCATTACCTTTTGCTGGTCCGACATGAATGTAAATGATGAACTTACTTCCTCCCCACCGAGATCTTCAACCAGAAGTTGAAGGAACCATTTCCAAGTATCCTTGTTCTCTACTTCGACCACGGCATACGCAAGAGGTAACATTTGATCATTTGCGTCTCTACCAACAGCAGTTAACATTTCACCACCATACTTTCCTTTCAGAAAAGCACCATCCAACCCAATTATTGGCCTACAGGACACAAAACTATCCTTGCAGGCCTTCAGACATGTATAAAACCTCATAAAACTGATTCCATCCACATTCTCTTCAACTTTGACTTTTACTGTGGATCCTGGATTACGAACTAAAACCTCATTGGCATAATCATAAATCCTTCTATATTGGTCTTTGAAAGACCCATCAACATTTTCTGAAGCAATGGCCTTTGCCCTATAAGCCATACATCTAGATACACCCACATTCCATTTTCGATTTATCTTCTCACGAATTTCCTTTCCCTTTACTTGTGGATTTTCTCTAACAGTTTTTTCCAACCTTTTACTGAGCCATTTTGCATTAACTAATCCTAATTTGTGCTCTCTACTACATTTGTGGTCATCAACAATAGTCCTTAATTGCCACGTATGAATGGCTTCCATATAACCACAATATGCCATCCAGGGGCACTCTCCTTTAGCACCCATACATTTTACCCTCATTCTCTTCTTATCATTTTTAATATATTTAATATTTCTGCCATTTTCTATTGCATATGTTTTAATGGCATCCACAAAGTCTTCCTTGTTAGCAAAATAAGTTCCCACATCCCATTTATAATCTACCATTGTCTTAGGCATGCAGAAGGTTACAAACTTCCCATAACCCTCCTCTTCCGCATCTTCTGCTTCACTTTCTGCTCCACTGTCTAATTCATCAGATTTCCATTCATCATCGGACAAACCTCTATGATGATCACTATTGATTCCATCATCCACATCACTATCATCAGATTGCACATCAACTTCAACATTACCAAACCAATCTGCCACTCTATCTCCTACCTCCTCTTCTAAATCACACTCAACATTAACATCAACCAGACCTTCCATACAGTCGTAATTAACCTCCTCATTGCCATCATCATGACCACTACTGGTCCAGCTTCCAACATCACAACCATCCTCTTCAACCTCACCCACACCAACATGTGTTTCAATTTCTCCTTCAACAACATCATCATCCTCACCTCTCTCACCTTCATTAACAGCCACCTCAAATTCTCTTTCACTGTGTTGTTCACATTCTGTTTGAATTTCTCCTTCAACAACATCATCAGCCTCAACTCTTTCTTCTGAAACCACAATAGTTTCATTGATTCCATCACACTGCCCTCTCTCACCTTCATTAACAGCCACCTTAAATTGTCTTTCACTATGTTGTTCACATTCACCCCCACCAACCTCTGTTTCAATTTCTCCTTCAACAACATCATCAGCCTCAATTCTTTCTTCTAAAACAGGTTCAACAACCATACCCCCAACTTCCTCTTCACCTTCACCCATAACCATACCTACAGGTTCAACTTCTACTTCATCTGTATTTTGAGGAATATATTGTAACATATTTATCACCTCAGGTTCAGAGACATTGTGAACAACAAATAGATGAACCTCACCATTAAGCCTGGCTAAGGTAATCATGTGCATGGCTCCTATGTCATCCAACAAAGGTTCCAACCTATTTTCCAAAACAGAACCACCACCAACGCAGTACAACAACTCCTTAAACCCATCATAACCTAGACCTTTTACTACACTGACTACAAGGAAATAGCTCCACATGTCTGGGTCAAAGGATAAACTTGTACTCTCCCCCTCATACTTAAGTTTTCCTTCATTTATGAACTTCCCACCATGGTGAAAAACAACTTCAAAATTTCCTTCCATTACGTACAACACAACAATTATATTTTAACCTATAAAGTAAGAAAAGACTTTAACAATGGGGGACCACAAAAAAAAGCATTAACAATATACACAACCCACTGAAAAAGACAATCAAACAACGCTTTAATAACGAGGGACCACATTGCAATCGAAAACGAAACAATATACAACATACAACAGGTTACGACAACCATAAAGGACAAAATCATCACAAAATTCAATCAAAAGCACATTTACTAACCTGAACACGTGGTTCACTTCGAACACTTTCGCCACTGCTTTCCACGTGCTTCACCGCCAACACCTTCCTGATTCTACCGAAATACCACCGATAGATCACTCGCAAATCTAGAAACGATACCTATTGTCCGCCAAATTGGAACCACAAAAGACAACCCTCGACAAAACCCTCATCAATTTAGGGATTCCTCCTTCTCATAAAGCGTTCGTTGTTTATGTTAAAAATCAAAACGTTGCGTTTTGATTTACAAATTTCATGTTTTTTAAATCTAAAAAACTCACCATTAAGCCAGGTCAATGCCACGTCAGTAACATTTCGTCATCTCAGCATCCCACTCATCAATTTTTTTAACGCCGTCCATCCAACTTAACGGTAAGTACTCAATTGATATCAATTTTCAAAATTAAGGACCATTTTGATACACTTTAGAAAACGAGTACCCATCTGAGACATTCGTACATAAATAGGGATGTCGAAAAGGATTAAACCTATTTTTAACTATCTCATGTTCTTTTATCCAAGTATAGCTTAAATATTCTCATCAAAGTTAACACTTTCATGTCTTAAATATTTATTTTTTTCATATTCTCCTTTTGAATAATTATAAATTTCTTTGAGTGATTTTATAGTCATGATTATGATGAGATCATTTGTGAAACACGAATAAAAAAAATTGACTTTGTCTTTGTTTTCTTTTCCTTTTTCACAACTTTTCATAAATCTAACCTCTCTAGATAAGTTTACATTTTTATAGCTCAGATAATAAATTTCGTCATCAAAGAGTGAAACAACAAATTGTGATAAAATTCCTTTTATTTTATAGGTCTAGTAAGAATAACAATTATAATATCAATTATATAAAATTTTAGATTATGGAAATATATTTTGAAAATATAAGAGATTATATGAATTAGCTTGTCATCTTATTTTATTTATGTATTTTACATATAAATAAAAACTTGATATAATATCAAATATTTATAATATTTTATTGTTAATTTCCAAACTCTAAATAATAAATAAATATACATATTTATATCTTTATATAAAACATATTTCTAAAAAAATGGAGAGATTTACTAAAAATTAAATAAAAATATTAAACAAATATTCTCAACAATTTTTTAAATTAAAATTATATATATTATCTAAGATATGGAAATTTTATGAAATATGTATATGAGATGAATAAGAATGATAAAACAGGTCACTCAGACCTCTCATGGCCCACCACAAGAAGATGAAATGAAAATTCTAACTCGTCTCATCAAATGGAAGGGTTGGTCTCTCAATTCTTTTTAATTATTTTCAGGTTTAAATATGTTTTTAGTCCCTCAACTATTAAGCGTTTTATTTTTTAGTCCCTCTTTCAAAGTAAGGTACATTTTAGTCCTCCTCCTTAGGAAAACTTAATTTTTGGTCCTCAAAAACTAACACTGTTAAAAACCAACTAATGTGGCTAACGGTGGTGTGTCACGTCGTTTTTTTTTTCTGACACCCGTTAATCTTTCTTAGCTCCTCTCCCTCCGACTTTCTCAGCTCCTCTCCCTCCTTTCTCGCCGGACCACCACTGCTGCTCATCGCGTCACCACTTCCCCTTCTTCACCGCGAAGCCACCACCCGCGAGAGCAGAACCACCATGTCGTACCTCCTTCGCCAGACCATGAGGCGCCGCGCCGCAAAAGGCAACCAAAAGAATCACCACGCTTCTCGTGCAACCACCCTCGTCACCACCATGTTGTGCCGCCACCGTGAAATCGCGCCGTCGCGCCGCTTCGCTACAGAACCCACCCTAAGTCAGAATTGCCATCTTCCTCTGCGAGAGCCACCACCTGCACTCAGAAAAACCAGAGGAAACCCAAAAACCCTATCAGCCAAATCACGCCACCCAGTAACGTGTCGCAACCACACCGCGACCTCCATCATCAATCATCGTGCCACCAACGCGTCGTCGCACCATCAACAATGGTCAATCGATCTTCAACCATCGCCACCATGTTGCACAACCAACCTGCAACCACACATCAAAACCCAATTCTCTCACGAAACCGCCGCCTTCAAAAAAGGGACTAAAATGTACCTTACTTTGAAAGAGGGACTAAAAAAAACGCTTGATAGTTGAAGGACTAAAAACATATTTAATCCTTATTTTTAATATGTTTTGTTTTTTTTAAATTTTTTACTTTTTTAATTGGTTTAATTCATAATTTCACTATTGAGTGTCAACTTCTCCACCCTTAAAATGGTATCAACTTCGTTTCAATTTTGTATAATTTGCATTAATAAAGTTTATTTCGTTAATTTTGCAGCAAGAAAGTTAATTATGTGGTAACGTGACAAAGTTTGCATTTTTTGTTCTTTCTCTTCTACTTCTCCTACGTGAAAAAAAACTGTGGTATCATCTCTTTCTCTTTATTCAAGTGAGAGAGAAATCAATAATGTGTTAATTGTTCCATAAAGATTTAAACATAATATAATTAAAATAAAATAATATTTTTTACAAAACAACCTTTAAGCACAGATTAGATTTTTTAAATTTTTTCTACCAAAACATCTTCCTATTTATATTTAAAATTTCTATATATTTAAATTATATAAATAAAAGTATAATTATAATTATAATTTTGACGAATTATAAATAAATAATAAATTTATATTTTAAATTGAAAAATATTAAAATAAATTTATCGAAGTTTATTAATATATTTTTTTCAAATAAGTGTAAATAAATAAATGTAAATTAAGAATGAATGAAAACGATTATTTAATTATTCAAATATATTTTAACATTGATATTATGTGATGTATTTAAATTTTGTTATCTATAATTAATAATTTTAAATATGCTTACTATCAAACGTATTTTATAATTGTTTTAATAAGTATAAATTCCATTACATAAATATCGTTATTAATTATTTTTAATAATATATTTATTAATTTTAACTTCACAAGTTTTACAACTTTGAGTTGCTTACCTAGATATTTTCAAAATTAAAGGCTTAAATGATATTTTTATTTGTTTATTTATAGATTAATTATTTTAATTCAATTTTTAACTTCTATTATTATATTTTTATATAAATTTCATTTTTTTATCTTAAAATATGTATAATTAAGTTTAAAATTAAGTACAAAACATTATAAAGTTAAATATATTTATACATGAGACATTTACATTAGATATGTGTTGGTGAGTAATTAAATATAAAACATATTACATTTACGTTAGCTATGTGTTGGTGAGTAATTAAACATATAAAACATATTAAAAAGTAACAGTGAAAACATATATTATTACTAAATTTTTCAAATATAATATTCAAGTAATATTTTTTTAAAATGATGTTTAAAATAAAGTATGATATAAAAAATTGAAATTAAAAATAGTGTTGCCTCTATAAATAGAGAGGAATACACATTGAATAGATTAATGAATTATTTGATTTTCATCTATCATAATTTTCCCAAATAAATTATTGAATTAATAATTCCAGAATCTCACATGTCATAGCCAAGTTGCCTTAGACTTATAGAATACGATACAAAATGCATTCCTTGTAATCATAAACAAAAGAATCTAAATTTTTTATATAGATTTAAACCTCGTTGAAAGAGATACAAATTATTAAATAAATAAAAAAAGGAATCACAAAATATAGTAATTGTTTTTCATCAGGAGGAGATTTGGGAAGAACAAAATGGACATTATAAATGTTTATAGAAAATGTAACTAATGATAATGGAGAAATGATGTACTTAAAGAAAGATTTCTAGCACTTATTCCATCATTGAAAAGAGTAGTTAAAATATGTGTTCATTAATGTCATGTAGCAATTAATGCATTATTCTTCTCTCTAACTCGAAGAGAGAGAAAGAGATAGGTCGGTAAAGGAAAGAGAAAAAAAAAATACAGACTTCTTTGTCACGTCATCACATAGTTAACTCTGTTTGTGTAAAGTTACTTGATTTGTTCAAATTATACAAAGTAGGGACGAAGTTGATACTTTTTTTAAGGGTGAAGATAAAGTTGACCCTCGATAGTGAAAATGGGAATAAAGTAAGCAATTAAATATTTTTAATTATATATAGATGTACATATTAAAAGTTCGTTGTGAATATTTTCTAGGTTTTAATTAATTAATATATATCTCTAATCAAATAAATTAAACTAATTTGGTAAGTTATTACATTATAATTAGTATTATAATTTAATTTGTAAGTGTTAATAATTTAAATTATAATATTGATATATTTACCTCTTTCAAATAATATAATACATAAAAATCATTTTTTAATTTTAATTTATATTTAAAAATGAATGGGATGAGAGACTAATTCGTCCTATCTCACCTCTAGTTTACCAATTCAAAAAGTTAGATAAAATGGATTAAAATAAAAAATTAGATAAAATAGACCAAAACAAACTAATGAGTTAAAATTTCTAATCCAATTAATTGATGAAGATTTTTTTTTTCATGATAGATATATTGACTATAATAATGAAGAAGGCAAGGAATGAAAACAAATGAGATGGTAGTTCAGCAACCTAGATTTATGCAAATATAGTTGAAACTTCAACCAATTTGATAAGTTGATCAAACGTGTGAAAATTTAAATGTAAAGTTGAATGATGTAGGAACATAAAGTCCTTTAGAAAGTGACTCTCGATGCATGGTTTTATCATAAAATAGATCTTTCCTTGAATATATTGATTATAATTTTGAAGAGCTGGTGGTTTAAGTGTAATTTTGACACT